TTTAGGGTTTAGGGTTTATAGTTAGGGTTTAGGGTTTAGGGTTTAGAGTTTAGGGTTTAGGGTTTATGGTTAGGGTTTAGGGTTTGGGGTTTAGGGTTTAGGATTTAGGGTTTAGGGGTCCATGTACCCAAATGGTATATACTGGGGCCCTAAAGTACCCAAAAGGGGGTTACATTACGGCTAAAACCGATGATCTGTGTATATGTATATATCACTACAGGGACCCTTTGGGATGTAGCTTGACACAGGAAGGATTGAACAGTGCGCTCGGCAAAACCTGTTTTTGTCTAGCTGCCCAGCAAGATCTTCCCGGCGCCTCGTCCTCCACGTCCACGGCCGTGAAACCCTAAAACCCTAAAGCCCTAAACCCTAAAACCCTAAAGAAACCTAAACCCTTAAACCCTAAAGCCCTAAGTCCCTAAAGTCTTCCCAGCCGGCATCATCTTCCTCCATCGAGGCCTGCATCAACAACATGGTCAACTCCCGCGGCCTTCAGGCGCTCAGCGCTTTGATGGTTGGGGCCGCGCCGCGGGCAAGCTCAAGGAAGAAATCGCTGCTTTGCGGGAAGAGCTGGGGAGACTGAACACGCGGAAGGAGCATCAGGGTAGTCCTTGGTCTGCTGGCTGTTTGACCCATGCGGTCCTGTGTTAGAGCTGCTACCGGACGGCCCGAGGCCATGTTTCCAGTTGACGAATCTCCAGCACCGGGTGGAATGGCGTCAGTCGACGCAATTCTGTACAGTCACCCCAACAGAAGTTAGGCTAACAATTAGGCTGGAGTACCGCGGAGTGTGGGTTTCCATGTCTATACCTATGTCACGTTCAACTATGCTGCGTTGTCGCTGTATGCTGCATATACGTTCGCATGTCTGTATGTTTGTGTATATATACATACAAAATAAATGTACAAAACTGTTTATCGATGCTCTGTCATGTGCCTGCTGTATTTCGGGCTTTACTGAACCATGCATGGACGCCGCTGTGCAAGATCCTACACTTCCCAATTTCGATTACAGTGCCCTGAACCTTCGGTTTCCTGGAAAAGGGTTCCTTCTAGGGACCCTTTAAAGGAACACCCTAAAGGAGCCCTTAAAGGAACCCTTATTATCGTATCCCCTTCAAGGAACCCCTTAAAGGAGTGGTTTGGGGGTTCTACAACCCTAAACCCTAAACCCTAAACCCTAAACCCTAAACCCGTTAAGGACTCAGGGCCTTCAGGGCTTGGGGCCTCAAGTCGGGGTGATCTGGGATACACAGGGCTTCGGAATTCAGGTGCAAGCAAAGGGTGCATTCTTAATTGGGCTTTGGTGCATGTGCGTAGGGTTTAGGGTTTTGGGGGCTTTGGGGGGATTTCCGCAGTGAAACTCAAAATCCGTACTTTGTAAGCTACTGGCAGCCTCACCAAGATGAAAGTACCCGGGGTTTGGGGGTCTTTGGACGGCTGTTTAAAGGGGCCCTTATGGGTTCTCTAGGGGGTTCCACACGGGCCTGTGGTTCAAGGCTACCCACAACCCTATTCAGCACCCACCCTCCCACCCCGTAATTAGGGATCCTTCTGGGGCACTTGAAGGAAGCCGTTGTTTGAACCTTACAAGCCTAATCGCTCAACCCTAAGGTTTAGAGTCTAGGTTTTAGGGTTAACCTAAAACCCCAAAGCCCTAAACCCTTAAAGCCTAAACCCTAAATCCGAGGCCTTATAAACTTTATGGCATGTACAACCCAAGCCTGTTGACTCTAAGCAGGACAAGCGGGCCACGGCGTGGCACGTCAGCTGGGTCAAGGTGGCCGTTCCCCAGGACAAGAAGGAGACTGGGGTTGAGGCTTTAGGGTTCAGGGTTCAGGCTGTAGGGTTTAGGGCTTTGGGTTTTGGGTTTAGGCTTTAGGGTTTAGGCTTTAGGGTTTAGGCTTTAGGGTTCAGGGCTTTAGGGTTTATGGCTTTAGGATTTAGGCTTCAGGGTTCAGGGCTTTAGGGTTTAGGGCTTATAGGTTTAGGGTTTAGGGCTTCGGGTTTTGGCTGTAGGGTTTAAGGCTTTGGGTTTTGGCTTTAGGTTTTGTGCTCTGAGTTTAGGCTTTAGGGTTCAGGGCTTTGGGTTTAGGGTTTAGGGTTATGGGGTCCTGTAAGACAACTTCTATACACTCTGTAAAGCCCTCCAACCCGTGTCAGACGCAAGCCTAAGCCCAAACACCCTCAAACCTCACAACCCTAAACCCTTCTCTCCCTGCCCAGGGATGACACATTTGTGTCTTTGAACCAACCAACCAACCTAGAACCTATCTAAAACAGCGTAAAAACAAGAGCCCTTACAGACTGTAAGACCTTCTGAAGGCCTCGTAGAGCCGACGTAAGCCCGAACACCCCTAAGCCCGTAAAGAAGCCGATAATCCTAGGTCGTATTCGGGAGACTTCTTAAAGGGGACACTTCTTAACCTCACTGATGGCTCTCTTAAAGGGGGACCTTATTGAGAGGATTATCTATAAAGCTACAGCTAAAGTTTGAAGCGTTTCCTTCTTCAGCCAGGAGCAGCCAACGCCACGGATGTCCTTCGCTGCCCTTCACTGGGCCATGATCGACTTCGGCAAGCTATTTGACCTTTGTGCTTTCAGGGGTTTCGGCTTAGAGTTCCTTTAAAGGTTGCTTTACTTACGAGTTTCGCTAAGGGATGCACAGGGGTTCGATCGAGTTTAGGGTTTAGGGTTTCGGGAAGTGGGGTTGGTTTAGTGTTTGGGCAATCTGTCAGAATATTCGGTAGTTGGGGTTATCGCCGGTTCTCACTAAAGGTGCCTCGGTCATGGGCACCCATGAACATGCGACTGAGCCTGAAAGTACAGCGTTGCTCCCGGACTATATACTGAAAACCTCAGCACCCGAACAGAGCAAGGTTAAGTCATGAGCCTATGTATGCGGGTAGTTCTCTAGATTAGGGTCCCTTTTGGGGTCCTTTTTTTATAAGGGTGCCGTACTATGTTAGCTATTTAAAAAGGGACACCAATTTAGAGAACTACGAGATGTCCTTATGTTGGGGGCCTAAATAATTACCAATTCTATTTTGGTGGTTCCCTATTATACTTATAGTATAATGGCCCCCAAAAACCTTTGCAAATCATAAAGGCCCCTACAGTAGATCGTCTCCCTTTATGGTACAGGGCTCCTGATGCCAGTACAGTTTTCCGCAGTACTTTCTGACCCTTAGCATCAAAATAGCACCAAAGCCTTATTTAACTGTAGGGTCTTTGGGCCCAAAAGCCTTAGTAACATATGAGTCCTTTGAGGGTAAGGGTGAGGGTACTCTTTGCATTACCTTTCGCACGTCAGTGTATCAAGCATACTTATCGGTGACACGATGGTCCCCTAAGCCCTGAACCCTCAACCAGACCCTTATGCCGAAACCACGAAACCCCTAAACTTGAAACCCTAAACCTTGAGGCCTAAACCCTCAAACTGAACCCTACACCTGAGGATCGACTGCCTTAATGCTCAAGACAACTCCGCCCACGCCTATACCAAACGGCGGGTGAATTCCCAACCCCGTCAAAGCCATAATATAGGGGCCGTATTAGTTACCTATGCTATTTGGGGGGTCCTTATTATATTTATAGTATAGTATACCCCACGACCCTATTGCAATTATTAAGGCCCCTACTTTCATTAATCTCAGATGCCTCTGGAACTTCTGAGAAGAAAAGCCCTAAATCCTAAACCCTAAAACTCAAGCCGAAGTTTCGGCGAAGCCTAGTTGAATCCTCAACCGCCCCTAGCATTTAGGGTTTAGGGTTTAGGGCCCCGCGTCCT